TTTATTTGAGCATACAGAACTGGGATACAGGCCAAAGGCCCAGGGGCGGTGAGAGGCTTCACCAGAAGACAGAGTGGGGAATAGAACAGGCAGATCGACGAAGTACACTGCTGAGGGGAGCAGTGGGCGGGTCAGGAGAGGTCTGCCACGCCCTGTGGTCACCTACGGAGCAGGTGGGAATCGAACTGATGTAGAACTGGCTTTAGATTCTCAGTGCTGTGCTTTAACCCGCTGCGCCACCAGGGAGGGCCCGCATACTGGATTTTTAAGCCTTAATATAAAAATACATATATATAAAACATTTCACTAATAGTTTTTGTTCTGCTTACATTTGAAGTGATAATTGAACGTATATTCAGTTTCAATGTTATTTAAAATGCATTTCACTTTCTTTTTACATTTTTTAATTTAGCTACTAGAATACTTACATGGCTTGCATCATATTTCTACTTTACAGTATTGATCTAGATTCACCAGTTGTTAACATTTTGCCATTTCTTACTCTAGCTGTTCTTTTCTGGACAATTTGAATTTATTTGCAAACATCTTGATACTTTATTTCTAAATATATATATTCTAAGTAACTGTTTAGGAAATTAAATTTTTTAAGTTCATTTCTTTTTTTTAAGATTTATTTATTTTGCATAAAGAATTGTGGTGCAAGCCAGAGGTGCAGGGGCGATAAAACGATTCACCAGAGACAGTGTGGGGAGCAGAACAGGCAGACTGACAAGTACACTGCAGAGGGGAGCAGCTGGCGAGACAGGAGAGGTCTGCTGCACCATGTGGGTCACCTCCGGGGTAGGGGATGAAACTCACATTGAAGCGGCTGTGGCTAGGTTGCAGTGTTGTCCTTTAACCAGGTGCTCCACCAGGGAGGGCCCAGGAAATTCAAATTTAATACTAAAGTATTATGTATTATTGTATAGTCAATAATCAACTTTTGCTATTATCTCAATAACACTTTTTATCCTTTTCTTTTTATCCAGGAGCCACTCAACAATCACACATTGCATTTAGTTCTGTAGTCTCCTTCCTTTAATATAGAAAAATAGTTCCCCAGTTTTCTTTCTTTCTTTCTTTCTTTTTACAATATTGGTTTATTTTTGAATATGGCGGGACAGTTGTTTCACAAGATCTCTCAGGTTAGCCAAGTGTTTCTTTTTGTAGGAAATAAACATTAAGTGATGTATCCTCAGAACTTTATACCAGAATTCATATAATGCGAATGCATTGCATTATCACTAGTGGTAAATGTGATCGGTAAAATAATAGTTCTGAGGCTGAGTATGTTAATTATCCCGTCAAAGGAAATGTGCAGTTGTGATTAAATTGAGGGCTCTGGGAGGGAGAAGATTTTCTGGGTGGGCCCCAGATCATCACAAGGGTGCTAATAAGTCAAGGAGGGATCAAAGTGATTAGGGTCCCATGATCTAAGAAAGTCTCCACCTACATTTGCTAACATTAAACTCGGAGGAGGGGATCATGAACCAGAGAATGCAGATTGCTTTCAGAAGGTGGAAAAGGATTCTCCTTTCTCCAGAAAGAAGTTAGTCTTGCCAACACCTAGATTTTAGACCACTGAGAAGTCTGTTAGACTTCTGGAATAGAGTGTTGTAAGATAATACATTTGTGTTAATCTTTTTTAAAAAAAATAATTATTTATGCATATAGAACTGGGGTACAGGCTAGAGGTGCAGGGACAGAGAGAAGATTCCCAGAGACAGACTGAGGAGCAGAACAGGCAGACTGAGGAAGTACACTACTGAGGGGAGCAGAGGGCAGGTCAGGAAAGGTCTGCCACACCACGTGGGTCACCTCCTTTGCCCTGATGGAATTCATGCTGCAGTGGCTACAGATAGCTTCATCTTGTTGTGTTTTTAACCCTTAGTGCCCCCAGGGAGATCCCATTTAAGATTCATAGTATCTTCAGACACTAAGTTTGTGCTAATTTTTCATAGCAGTAGGAAATTAGTTACATTTGACCATGTATTTAACTTATCTGCCATATTTCTCCAGTAAAGCTATCTTTTAACACTTATAATCCATAGCTATCAAAAAAGAAATCAAAGTAATGCTTTGAAAATATCTTTTCTGCTTTTCAGCAAACTTTAATCCCAAGGTTGACTGAATTAATTGTTGCTTTGGTGGTGACAAAATGGTGATTTTATAAAAAGTAAATGATTGAGGTACATTAGGACCCACCCCATCAAATACTATAATAGTAGTGAACTCACCACCAAATTACCCATATTCCATCACCAAAATACTGATAGTTTAATTGTCTCATTCTCGTTTATTTTTCAATTTGATTTCAACTTCACTCAGTTATTCTTCTTGTTCAGTGACTGAATAATTATTCATTGACTATCTAACACATATTACACACTCTGCTAAGTACCAAGGGCATCTAAGACCCCTGTCTTAAAGCTTAGACTGGTGGGTTCATATCAACAAGCAATTACAATATAATAGAGTGGTGGATGAGAAAGAAATATATGTATATGAACAAGTATTAATTCAACATACTTATTTAATAGATTAAAAACACACCTCAATCACAAAAACTTTGCTAGGGGGAATGTAATATGGTACAGCAATTCTGGAAAACATTTGGCAGTTTCTTATAAAACTAAATATGCACTTACCATATGACCCAGAAATTTGTATTGTTGGGTATTTACCCCAGAGAAATGGAAACTGATGTTCATACAAATTGTGCACACAAATATTTATAGCAGCTTTATTCATAATAGACCCAAACTGGAAACAACAAAAATATCTTCCAATGGATTAGTGGTAAAACTGTGGTACATATATACCCCAGAATATTTATCAGCAAAAAAGAACCAACTGTTGATATATATATCAACAACTGGGAGGGATCCCTAGAAAATATGATGAATGGGATTAAAAAAAAATAAGTCAGTTTAAAAGACTATTCATGATTTCATTTATATGGAAATTTTGAAATTACAGAGATAGGAAAATATTAGTAATTGACAGGAATTAGAGATGTTCAGGATTAGGCTGTGTGTACCTTACACTGATAGAACAGTTCTGTATCTGGGGATGATGGTACAATAATGTATACAGGTGGTAAAATTGTGCAGAAACATACAGACCAGAGTATTATGGCAAACTGGTGAGATCTGAAAAAGCACTAAAGATTGTACCAGTGTTACTTTTCTGCTTTCATATTGTACTTTAATATGCATGATGTTACCTTTGGGGGGGAATCTGAAGATAACCTGGGACTTCCCTGTATATTTTTTACACTTTTTGTGAATCTATAGTTATTTCCATCAGAAACTCCCTTTTCATTTTTACTGTAACTTTCTTTCACACAATATATCCAAAATACCCCCACCCCACCACTTAATGTCACTTGAAATTTAGGGACTCATTTCAGAATTTTACATTCTATCTTAGCCTAGTGTCTTAGCAGCAGTTTATTTGAAAACGTTTATTAGAATGTAAAAAAAAAAAATCTGTAATGAACTCTCATGGAGTTCACAAGAGAAAAGCAAAAAGGAAGTCTGTGACAAAAGGATGGAAACAGGTGAACTATTGTAACTCAAGGGACATTTCCTACAGAACTTACATTCTAAGACAGAACTCCATTTACATTTTATTAAAGAGCAAGCAACTGTCCAGTTCTCAGTAAGTGACTTCATCCTGTCATTATATACAACAACATATAAATACGCTTTCCTTTAATTGAGATAGTCTGAATTTGGAGCAAATGATCATCAGTAATACTGGCTACCTTTTGAAAATAAACTAGGGCTCTAGTTCAGTCAGAAACCTTGGGGTGGCCAGGTCAGGAATCCAGTGCTTCCTGGAACAAGGCATACATTTCCTGCCCAGCTGCTCAGTGAGGCTCCAGATTGCTTTTCAAAAAATCTTAGCAGTGTTATCACAGTTTGTAGTGCTAGGGAACATGTCTTTTCTTTGCTATTTTTAAAAAAATTAACAGAAAATTTCAAAATGATGCCAGCACTTGTCAAAGATGTGTGTGTAGCTTAGTTCCTCTGGAAATCCCAAACCATGTTCTTTATATTTTAGAAGTCTGATTTTCCTCTGAAAATGATTTGCACATAATGCAAAGACTAAAGAAAAGTTCACATTCAAACTAAAAAGATGTAAATTTGAGATTCGTTACACATCCTCTGCAGAATTGGGTGGTTACTTCCTATTTGGCAAGGTAGTACACATGACCACGTGCAAATGAAATTCCCAAGTTAAAAGTGTTTGCTCTGCTTTCCTTGAGAGGCTGTTACAGCACAAACAGAATTAACAAGCCAGAGGCAGCAGCAGCTATCTCGGTGCTTTTGTGTTTGGTCTTCGCCACGCCAATGTTAAGAGACCAGCACAGGCTGTGTGTTAAGGGCAAATCTCACGATCAGATGGCCCCAGTCATCCGTGAAGAGTTCATCATGGGATCTTAGAGGGAACAGCACCCAAGTGGGCTTAGGGCCCCAATAGGCAATGACTAAAGCAAATCCTCCCAACTAAGGCTCTCTCTGGTGTCTGCCCCGAGTTGGCCTGGAGGGCCCAAATGCTACTCCCCTGTAGCTGTAATGATAGCAATTTGGCAGTATACAGGATGCTGCACGTGGATGTGAGCTCAGGGGAATGAGATGGGGGGTGGAAGTGGGATGGGGGTGGGGGGCTGTGCGAAATGCTACGCCAGAGCAGACAGATGGATGAATTTATTGTGGTCAGTGGTCCTAGACTGGAAGCTTTAAAGCTCAAGGAGCTCTATCTGCAGCTCGCTTCTCAAAGCCTTACTTCCCCACCAAGAGCGAGGTCCCCACCTGGCCAGCTGCGGACTGCGGGCCCGGGGAAGGTAAGCTGACTCTCCAAAGCTCTGACGCCGGATTGCCGGTGGGCGAGGAGCTCACCGTGGGGAGGCGTCACAAAAGGCCGAGGCCTGCAGAGGCCGCGCGCGCAGCTCTCCGGGGCGGAGCCGCGGGGCCGGGGCTGGGGCTGCGCGGGGCCGCAGAGGCTGCAGCTGCTGGGGTGGCGTGATCACCCAGCTCCGAGGTCCTCGGGGTGCGGAGGATGCGTCAGCTGCAGCCCGAGTCGCGGTGCCCGGCCGCCGACCTCCCCGGCCCCCGCCGCGGCGGAGGCGCGCTGAGCGTGGCGCGGGCCGGGCGGAGCTAGAGGCGGGCGTCTGCATCGCGTCGTGCCACTAGCAGCTCCCGCTTCAGCAGGGCCGGGGATCCTGTCGCGGGCCGATGCCCTGACCGCGGGCGCGGCTGCTGGGTTGGCGACGCGCGCTGCGTAGGGAGAGGCCCGCGGAGCCCCGGCGGCCGCCGTCTTCTCAGGCTCTGGACGCTGGTCTCTAGAGGCGCACGCCCGAGCGCTCTTGCCTCCTCCCCTTGCTCCACCTCGGCGTTCGGTCCTCCCCCACCCCTCCTTCCACCCACCCTGGAGGATGCGCTCCCTCGCGCGGAGCTGCAGAGGCCACCGCTTCCAGAAATGCGTGCGCCGGATCCCCTTCTCCGGGACCCGAGGAGCAGGCACCCCCGCCCTGTAGGTAGGTGAAAGAGGCGGGGACCCGCCTTCCCCGCCGCCCGCTGCTGCTGCTGCAGCCGCCGGGGAGAGGTCGGGGCCGGGGTCTAGGACCCGCCAAACTTGCCTCCCCTTGGGGCTCGGCGTGGCGGTTGGAGGTGTGCTAATGGCGCTGGGCGCAGCCCCTCGTTAACCTGACAACCTCTCTTTGAGATCCGGAGGCCGAGTTGTAGCGAAGGAGAGCCTGACCCTTCCCCGCCCACCCCACGGTGGGGTGGGGTGTGCTCTGTGCGGGCGATCGTGGGGGGCACAGATTGGTATGTGACTTATGGGGCGGGTGCTGGAGGTACCGTTGCATTTTCAGCAGCTCAGGTAGAAATATGTCACCGTGTGTATTTGGGCTGCACTAGCAGATGCATTTTTCCTGTTCTAGCCTAACATGTCACCACGCAAAGCGTTATATTAGTGGCATATAAAAGTCGAGGGGGGACGGGGTGGACTGTAATTCATAGCTAGCTGCTATATAAATCTGTGGCACAAACCTGAAATTAACATTTTAGGGTCAGTTAGAGAGGGTCCTCCTAGAAATCAAATTGCAGCAGAGATAGATGAAATTGGGATGGTCTGTGTCTGCCTATTTAGGAGCCTCCAGCTTGGATGAAGGGATGTGGTGAGTGGCAAGTTTGATACAGGTGTTGGGAGTTGAGAATCTGCTGGAAGGATGCATGGAGTTGGCCAGCAGAGGCAGCCTTGTGTGCAACCTAACTTCAAAGCGGTGGTCGGGTTTGCATTTCTGAGAACCTGGGTATTAGTATTTTTCTTCCTCTGTTGTAAACTTTATACACCAGAGCTTTTGACAAGATTCCCTCTCCACAGGCTGTCTTTAAAAATTTTATATTAAGGAATAAAGGTTTAGAGGTTTGAAAAGTGGATCAGTTTTATATTAATGTGTTAATAAGGTTGAGAGCTTTGGGAAATGACTGTTAACTCCAGGACTTAGTCTTCTTGTTCAATCCCATTTCCGACTACCACCTCCCTCCCCCCTCCCCCTCCCCCCTCCCTCATGCATATTGGGAGCTCATTAGTTTTTTGTTGTATGTGTTTCAAACTTCATCTGAAGATGACAGTTCAGGATTAAAATGCCCTGTCTGTACTGTAGCAATTGCAATTTAACTGAAAGCTAAGAGTTGCATTTTCATATAAATCGGCAAATTCGGCTAACATTTAAGTGTGAATTAAGACATCTTTTAGGATCATGTGCTAGCCTTTTCGAATGCATCAAGTAGTTCTTCCCAAATTCTAATAATCCATGTATCATGTCTTAAGTTTGCAAATTCTCCAGTCTCATTGGTAATCAAACTCATTTTAATTAAATTTTCAACATAACTGTTTAAAAGCACAACTCAAGTTTGAAAGAAAACTAAAGTTATAGCAGAGGTAACAGTGACTTGGTTAATAGGTGACATATTAGCTTGTTTTAAAGTTGAGTTGCTGTGGTTGATCTTCTGATAATGTTTTATTTCACGTCTTTACCGGTTAAAAATAAAGCAGTTTTCAACTGTCTGTCTATCCTAAATGATGTAAAATACATGGTACAGATAGACATTTTAAACTGTGTGAATTTTCTTGGAAGATAGGCATTTCATTTTCCCAGTTTGATAAGCAAGAGATTTGGAAGACTCTGTCCTTTTTCTGCTTTTAAAAGTTGTGTTATATTGGGGTGGGGGGGGAGATAACTATCACATTTCATTTGCATTATTGTTTTTCACACTATGATATTTTCTAGTTTTATTTTTATTCTCTTATCAAGTAAGTCTTATTGGTCAGTGTTAACCTCTTTTCAATGGCTTTGTTTAACAAAATATCTGGGAGTGGTCCACTTATTTATTTTTGGTAATTTTAATACCATTCCATCTTCTTCAATTCCTACTACAGAAAAGATTTACTTTCACAAAACTATAGTAAGCCATGATTTCTTAATATTTGCTCTCTTAATTGCTCTTAATTGCTTGTCTTAATATTGCCTCTTCTAATATTGTGTCTCTATTGGTCTCTTCTTAGATGGGTGAGGAAATAATTCTTTTATGTAAAATGAAGAAGTTACCAGTAGGAAGGAACCGACGAAAAGAACTACTTTGTTGTTATTTATTAAAACAAAATGAATTTCCCATGAAATAAACATGGTTATATTTTACACATCTTAAATTTGTAATCAAGGCTTTTGAGCAATGAATTTGCATTATTCTTTCTTGATCACTTTCAACTTCTCAAAAGAGCCCTCTCCTATGGTTACAATAAACTTTTTTTGTTGCACATAATAAACACTTATTTGTTTATTTGACCGCTAGAAGCTGAACACTTGTAGTAAGCTGGAAGGGCTTGACCTGAACCACACTCAAGTAAGTGCTGTTTTCTAATATCAGAAAGGGAGAGTTATTTTTCTGTGTGTGCATGCTCCCAAAAGTGAGATCGCTTTGTGATTGCAGGACTCACTAACTGGGTCCTGTTTGGTGTGCATCAGCACCCTCTTCCACATTCACCACTGGAATGTGATTTGGAGACCAGGATTTATTCTTGTTCTCCATATCATTTCTACAGTTCTTTTGCTAACACCACTATTCCTTTCTAAGTGTTTACTGTTCTTTTGTTTCTCAACCCATAATTTTTGTTCTTTACATCCATGAGTATTTACTATCCAATATACATATTTTGAAGCCAGAATTATTATGTTTACAAAAAAAGATAGAAAGAAAATTAGTGTAACTCTGGATTTCAAATACTATAGCGACAGGTTGATGGTTGAAGAATAATTGTGCACTAATCTCTCAATGGTTGTATAGAATTTCTTTGTTTCTGCACATGTCAGAGATTGAATTGTTCATAAATTTGATCAGAGGCTTAATTGAGAGAAATGATGCCTGCAGAGGGTTGGCTGAACAAAGACCATGACAGCCTCCATCCTTCCAATTATAGGTGTTAGATCAGAAGTGTGGCCAGATCCTCACAAAGTATGTACTTTTCTTACCTTATTTTGCATCTTTAACACCACTGCAAAACACCACCCCTGCTTAAACTGAGTGATTCTATTAATAACTACAGTCACAAGAAACCTGCAGTTTTGTTATTCAAAAGATGGGGTGAAGATTATAGCCTTCTGCATCTCCGCTTTGAAGACCTATGCAGGAAAGCATCATTCAGTTCTAGATGCCAGAGAAAAGCCAAACTTGCCCTGAAAAAATATGCATACCTTTTTTTCATCTTGCAAAACTTGAATCAGATAAATGATTATACTTCTCTTTCTGATTTGGCAACCAAGAAACAGTCAAATTTGCAACTCAATTTTAATAACCTTACAGAAGCCTATGACTTAGTATTCTAATTTTCCCTTTGGTCTTGTTCTTCTGTTCTGCTGTGGTTTCTGTTCTGCTATGGTTTTTTTTTCTTTCTTTTCTTGATTCTGAAAGGTATCTAATTATAGCTTCCCAATTCATTGAAACTATTTTTTAAAGCTGACTCAATCCTTTGTTGAACAAAACAAAATATAAAACAAAATCAAACTAGTAGAAACATTTGCAGAATTGATTTCTGGATACAGTATGTTTTTTATTAAGAAGTTTAAAAAGTTACATTATTATGTTTTGAATAAGTATTGGAAATTTAGTATGCTAAAAATTATATAGTCAAATGGAAAACAATGTTACATAGTTTTGCAAAGTGAAACCACCTATTTTGTAACTGTTAAATTTATGTCCATTTATCAGTAATTTAAAATTGGTAAAACCATTCCATTTATGTGAGTTATTTATGGAAATGCCTCCCTTATATGCTATATTAGGCTTAACATGAAATGTATTAGATATAATAAGAAAAAGTCATTTTTACACAAATGATTTCCCTGGACACTCATCACACTGGAACTCATATCTGACCTCTTTCACCTCAGTGATTTATTAGATTCATCTTTATTTTAATAAATCAGATAAAATTCTTTCAGTCTGTTTACCATGAAATGTAAAAGATTGAATTTCCTGAGTTAATTGATCAGACTCTACTCATTTCAGTGTTTTGACAACTACCTCTTGGATGAACTTAACCAGAACTTAAATAGTTTTATCTACTGGATGCCAAACTCAGTTTGATAAATGAATCACCCGATTCAACAGGGAAATTGACCCTTCTAGAGAGTCAGTCTCAAGGTATCAATCCAGGAGCATTTGGGGGAAAAAAATTTAATTCAGAATTGTATCTTGAAACATCGGGGTAGGGTGATTTGAAGGAAGACTTGAGCAGGTTTTTATATAGAGACTTATCATTTCATTAACCTTCATGTCTTAAAATTTTTGGATTCATGTGTTTCAAAAGGTACAAGTGGTTTACAGTGAAAAGACTCCCTTTTGCCCTCTCTTCCTCGTCACCTACTTATCCACAGGTAGTAAGTATCACCAGTTAATAGAGAATCTTTCAGTGACATTTTATGCATATAGAAACAAACACGAACATTCATCCTGTTCATTTTTCTCCTCACCACGTCTCTGTTCGCATTTCTCCATTCCATTGCCTTTTTTGTATTAAATGCGTTGGACTCTGCCTGCATTTTACTTTCTTCTACATTTCAGCAGTCCACCTCTCACCTAATCTTCCCTCTAAGCTCTCCTCTTCAAACTTTCTAAAGGATTGTCATCACACCCAGGGAGTAATCCAGCTGGAATGTCAGCCTGGTCTCTTGGACCTTACTTATCATGTCTCTTCCCCCTCCCCTGCCTGTCATGCATTTGACACATAGTTGTTCTTAGCTAATTCCCTTCCTCCCTCCCCTGCTAATCATGGACCCTTTGAAAGATGTGATGACTATTGTGGATCTGATCATAATCATATACATTTTCCCTACACCTGCTTGTTTATGGCCCCCATTAAGAATCTCTATTTTATGGCCCTCCCTGGTGGTGCACCAGGTTAAATCACAGCACTAAGAAGCTTAAGCTGCGTTTGCATGAGTTCGATCCCCGCCTGCCCCGGAGGAGATCC